TAGAAATTTTTAAGCACATAAACTCTTTTTTTAAAAGATTTATTTTTATTTATTTATGATAGACATAGATAGAGAGAGGCAGAGACACAGGCAGAAGGAGAAGCAGACTCCATGCCAGGAGTCCGACGCGGGACTCGATCCTGGGACTCCAGGATCGCGCCCTGGGCCAAAGGGAGGCGCGAAACCGCTGAGCCACCCAAGGATCCCCAGCACATAAACTCTTGTTCAAATTACATCTCAGGAGAAACCCTAATACACAAAATAGCTCTGTTGGAAGCAGGGGTGGAGGGCCCTAGGACTCCTCTCTCACATCCTGAAAACCTGAGAAGTCAGGTGTGGAAAGATCTGGCCCCTAACAAGCAACACAGGAGCCACCTGGAAATGTCACAGCAGCAAGAGGGGGTGGATGGGGTTGTTTGACAAACATGCATCAAAAACCAGGTTGAGCATCTGCCTTCTGCTCAGGGCGTGATCCTGGAATTCAGGAATCGAGTCCCACATCGGGCTCTCCGTGAGGAGCCTGCTTCTCCCTCTGCCTGTGTCTCTGTCTCTCTCTCTGTATTTCTCATGAGTAAATAAATAAAATCTTAAAAAAAAAATGAAAAGGGTACATTTGTAAGGAGGCACATATGAATGTGGGGAGGGGGGAAGACAGAGTCCACTTGGAGTGCTTAGAGGGAGAAGCTGCTACCAGGTGCCCATCTTCTCACCCCTGAGGTCCCCACTTTCCCTCCCTGTAGGAGATGGTATTTAAAAAAAAAAACAGGGATCCCTGGGTGGCGCAGCGGTTTAGCGCCTGCCTTTGACCCAGGGCGCGATCCTGGAGACCCGGGATCGAGTCCCACATCGGGCTCCCGGTGCATGGAGCCTGCCTCTCTCTCTTTCTCTCTCTGTGACTATCATAAATAAATTAATTAATTTAAAAAATCAAAACAAAAAACAGAAGTCTCGGGGTGGGAGTGAATGGGTGATGGGCACTGAGGGGGGCACTTGACGGGATGAGCACTGGGTGTTATTCTGTATGTTGGTAAATTGAACACCAATAAAAAATAAATTTATTTTAAAAAAACAGAAGTCTCCTTGTTTGAACACCAATAAAAAATAAATTTACAAAAAAAAAGAAAGAAGGAAGAAAGAAAGAAAGAAAAAAGAAAAAGAAAGAAAGAAAGAAAGAAAGAAAGAAAGAAAGAAAGAAAGAAAGAAAGAAAGAAAGAGAAATTTCCTTGCCATGGCTGCCTCTCATTCATTAAACCTACTTGTTCGCCATTCTTCACACAAGTAGAGCCCATTCCTGCCTCCTCGCTTTGCCTCCCCCTCTACCTGCCAGCTGGAATGACTTTTCCTAAATGTTTTTCTTTCCAAATCTGACTTGCCCTTCAAATTCACACATCACCACATCTGGTAATCCTTCCACAATTGTCCCCATCCAAAAGTAGTATTCCTTCCTATGACCTTCTCCAGCAGAGAGGGCAATGGCTAAGAACTTGGGGCTCAGTCTCCCCATCTGGAAGATGGGAATGTGAGAACTGCAATGGTCCACATGAAGTCCCTGCTCCATCCTGGCACACAGTAGGCACTCAATAAACAGCAGCTGTTCATTGTGATGCTGTGGCCGCCCCCTCCACCCAGGCAGGACCACAGCTCTCTCAGGCTCTAGCACACAGTAGGTATCTACTGAATGCTCACTTGGGTGACCAGCAGGTGGCCCCACACCCCAATTAACCTGCCCTGACCAATTGCTTCAGGCCTAGGAAACGGGGCTCCCTGAGTCTCCTGCTGCGTTCTCCTGGGGATGGGTGACAGAGAAGCAGCAGAACTGGCCGAGTCCTGGCACCTTGGTGTGTCACCCAGCAGTCACCTGGGCAACACCGGTGACCAAGGCCTCTGGGCTTGGCTGTCCCTCTACCCTTTTCCACAGCCTTGCCCACCCTTGCAAGGATTACTACCGTCTAAGAAGAAAACCGAGGCCCTAGGACGGCTGGGTGGCTCAATTGGTGAGCATTTGCCTTCAGCCCAGGGCATGATCCTGTAGTCCCAGGATCGAGTCCCGCATCGGGATCCCTGCATGGAGCCTGCTTTCCCCTCTGCCTGTGTCTCTACCTCTCTCTGTATCTCTCATGAATAAATAAATTAAATCTTTAAAAAAAAAGGAAAAAAGAAAACCGAGGCCCAGCAAAGTGCATAATCTGCCTTCGGTAGGTGGCAGCACATATGCCAAGGGTGTAGGAAGGATCTGACCCTGCTTAATCCATGTTTCATGTTACTGGTGAGGATGGGGAACCTCAAAAACTGGAGCAGCCTTGCCCAAGTCCTCCAGTAAACCAATGCTCAAGTATCCTGGCTCTAAACTAAAGGCATAGTTTAGTTAAACTAAACTAAATAAACTAAACTAAATAACCCCACCCCACCCCACTCCAACCACTGGGAGGAAGGTGGATCTCCCAACCCCTCTCCCCACCTGCTGGCCTTGATTCCAAGGGGTGAACATGTCGGATGCCCAGTGAGACAAAGGGAAGAATTTTACCCTGCTGGCTTTGAGGGCAGCTGTGAGGACCCACCAGAGAGGCAAAGGCTCTGTCCAAGGCGGTCAGGTCTGGAGATGGCTACCCCAGGGCCTCTGCCCCATCCCTGGGCCTGCCAGAGAGAATTTCCAGCAGGCCTGGGAGCACTGAGCCCCCTACAGAGGTTGCAGCAGGCTGCATTTGAGGCTCAATTCTGACGCTGCTGTGGAGGGACTGAATCGAGGGCGGAGAGGGGCTGGTGTGGAATAGCAATGAGCTGGGCTGCTGGAAGCCAGCCAGCACCAGGTTTGCAAGACAGAGAACTCTGCTGTCAGCTGGGTCAGGGGGAGCATCACTGGGAAGCAACGTGTCTCTCTCTCTCTCTCTCTCTCTCTCTCACACACACACACACACACACACACACAGATGTGCACTCACTCGTGCACACATGTGAATACATCTCTCAGGGATTTTTATTGAAAGCTCCCAGGGAAGCCACCATGGAGGCCAAGCAAATGCCTGTGTCTGAACAGGCTGATGAGAATATGTGGCTACATGGCTTTTTCACCTAATTCCAGCTGATTGTCAGGGGTTTGTTATTATTTCACAGAGAGCCACACTGAGGCCCAGAGTGTGACTTAGCTGGGCATCCGGCCTCCTAGCCCTGGCTTGTGAGAGCTGTACCTGATGCCAGAGATCAGGGGACCACACTTCTCTTCGGCTCCCGGAAGTGCCCCAGCAGACATGGGAGATCCAGGGGCAATCCTTCCACCCTCTCCTTCACTAACTACCTCTTGGGCACCTCCACCAACCTAGTCACCCACCTCCTTCCCCAAAATAGCGATGGGCCAAGTATGGCTGATAAGAATCCTTCCCTGGGTCCAGAGTGTAGGCCCCTGGCAGATGCCTCCTGCTGGGACTGTTGAAAGCCAAGGTCTTCAAGGTCAGCCCCAGGAAGAAGCAAAGGCAGAGCTGAGGGCTGCAGAGTCCCTCTGTCCCCAAGGCCGTGGTCCCTGCAGTTCTACCTTCAATCTTATAATCCTATAAACCAGGCATGCTCCCCAGCTACTGCGGTGCATTGATTCTCTCTTTGGTTTAAAAGGCCCTATGACACAGCCTTCTCAAGCCACGCCCTTCCTTCATAGACCACATGGGCCCGTGATTCAGTACACATTTGTGTGATATTTTGTCCTTCTTTCTGAGGAGTGTAAACTCCCTGAGGTGAGAGCCCTGCATGCGGCTTTCCTTGCACCCAGCAGGGGGGCTCAAGTACAGTGGGTGCTCAGCAGCTGAGTGAAGAGCCTGTCTGAAGCTCTGTGACTAGACAATTTGCCTTTGCATCTGGCCAGTATTTCACTGGCCGAGTACATGACGACGACAACGATGAGGATGATGATGGTTGGTCTGAACCACAGGCTCTGTGAGTCCCCCAGAATTCATCTGGGGAGTGTAGGGGCCCTTCAGTAGGGTGGGCCACCCTCCTCAAAGCCCAGGGCTTTGCCTGAAGCTCGGAAAACCTATGATGCTGCTCTGGAGAGCAGGCCCTTGGGAGTAAAACTGCTTGGGTGGCAAATGCCTGATTTTGGGGGTGGAAAGTCCCTGTGGTAGATTTGGGGATGGGTGGCTTTTCCCTCTTGCAATTTCAGGTACATCTCTCCTTCCTGATGGCTAAGGGTGGCAGATGGGTGATGGACACAAGCCATGCCCCAGGCAACCCACTAGGCATGTCACACAATCATCAGCCTGGATCCCCCAGATGACTGCCCAGGGTGGGCACCACCTCCTGGTTGCAGTTGAAGAAATTGAGGCAGGAAAGCTGGGGGATTTGTCCAAGGTTGCCAAGCTAGGAAGCAGCCCACATTCAGGAGTGCTGGCTTCTCCCTGCCTTCTACCACCTGTCCCCCCTCCCCAACATCTCCCAGGGGACAGGAGGTGGAGGAGGGAGAGCTGTGGGGCTTGTTGGGCTCTTAGAAAACTGGGAGGTTTCAAGAGAGGAGCTGAGGGAATATGCCACAGTCAGGGCCCCCCCTCGAGGCTGCCCGCAAGGGCTCCCGAGGGCTGAGGGTGCTCTACTGCCGAAATAGTCAAAAGACAGTCTCCAGCATCCCGCCCCCTCCCATCTCCGACATTCTCACTGCCAAATGAAATCTGGCAGCTTCTGAAAATAGCTCAGCGCTGCAGCAGGCTCTCTGCCCGCCCTTCAGCAGGCTGGCATGCAGCTGGGGGTGGCCACTGTGGGCAGACACTGGCGCACGCGGGGCCTGGGGGTGGGTGTCACACACACAGTGCACTGGGTGCCCCAGAACTGGTGGCATAAGGCAGCTGCCACTCCTCTGCTCCTCTGACCTTTCCAATACCTGGCGAGGCCACAATGGCCCTGGAGTCAGCCTGGCATGTTTACTAGGCCTAAAGGGAGGGAAATTACTAGTAGGTGTGAGCAGCTGCCCTTGGGCCACTTTTGTCCACTCATGTAGACAGAGAAATCCAGGAACCAGGAGGGAAATGCCAAAATGTATTTATTACTATCTAGATGTAAAACCCAGCAGTGTTTTTCTATCTGATGTGGGCTAGGCTTTCCCAGCCAGTGAGTGAAAGGTCAGGAACCAGGCTGGGTTGCAGGCACTTGTCAGGCCCATATCAGGCTCTGAGAGCCATGAGGCTACCCTGGGCAGTGTGACACTGGGTAAGCCTGAGCCAGCAAGGAAAGGATCCTCTCTGGAGGGTCCAGACCTTCTAAGCATCACTCAGCACTTCTCTCCACTGCCTTGGGTCTGACCAAGAGTGTAGAAAGAGACCCCGATTAATGGGAAGCCCCCACCCTCACAAAAGTACACCAGGAAACAGCCCCTGCCATAAACCAGAACAAGGTGAAGGATGAACCGTTACAGAGAGAAGCTTTCCTGCCTGGGATCCACTGAGTGGGTGGGGGCAGGAGAACTGTACTGGCTTTTGTCACAGTGACATTTTCCAAAGTAGAAAAGGGTTAAAAATACCTCCCACCCTCCCCTGAGATGAAAGGCCACTCTTTGGGTAAAAGGTAGTAACAGGATCGGTAGGCCCAGGGACTCAAGGAGGGAGCTCCAGGGGCCATGTGCGATGGAGTTGCAGCAAGATAGGCGGGACTGCCCAGCAAGGCAGGCAGACCAACCCTGGGCCTCGGACCCTGCGGCCTCCCTGAGGCCTCTGGAGACCGAAGGGAGGAAGCCTGAGAGGATCGAGCAGCGTGAGGGGCCCAGCCTCCCCAAGCAGGCAGAGGCAGACCCTCAACTGCCCCTTCTCCCTCCCTGGCTCTCTCACTCAGCATTCACAGACAGCAAGCCGGTCCCTGGTCACCATGGCAACCAATGGCCAGCCGCCTTTCCCAAGGCCAGGCCCATCTGACCACCCTATAGGGGGGTGTCTCCGAGGGACGAGGGAAGCCTGCCACAACTGCTGGTACCCCAGAAGTCTAAAGCCATGCCCCGGCACAGAACAGAGCTCCATCTCACTCAGATTGCTCTGGCCAAAGGCACTGCAGCTACAGCAGGTGGCTCCCTACTCCCAGGCTCTGGGCCCCCTCTAAGGAGGTTTGGAGTCACGGTCCCCCATCCTGATGTTCTAGGTGACAAATTAAAACACAACAAAATGATCATTTTGTTAAAAAAAAAAATGACCCCAGGCCCTCTGGGGCAGGACCTCAGCACAGTCCCGTCTGTCCCCCACGTGGAGAGGCCTGGCTCGTCCATGGCCCCATGCGCTACTGGTTGTTGCAGCCCTGTGAGGCTGAGGAGCCACCGCCTGCTTGCTTCTTTCTCCGCTTGTTGAGCAGCCGGTTGTTAGAGGTCTTCAGATCCTTGATCTGCACCTGGTCGTAGTCCACACGCATGGTTGCCAGGGCACTGGTCATCTCCTCCTGATGACAATTGTCCGCAGAAGTCAGGATGTACTAGCCTCAAGAGCCATCACCCTCTTGTCTCCAGCCCCTTACTAATGTCAATGAGGGCAGTGATAGCCAGTATTGCCCGAGCACCCACTGCACACCCAACAGTAGGTCATCCCCTGTGTCACATAATCCACACTCCATTTCCTTTGTGACTTATCTACTAAGGCAGAAAAAGTATAGTGACCCCCTGCGACCACACCAAGGGTGAGTGGGACAGGGACCTGGACCTATGCCACTTGCTAAGAATCACAGGCCTGCAGGGGACACCATCCTGTGGGGGACCCAAGGGACTGAAGCCTAAAGACTGTGCCTGGGGTGTCCTGGGGCTCTGAGCTGCTGTCCCATATGCTCACACCAGGCTCAAACCTGCTGAGTCTAAAGCCAAGCTGACCTCCCTCCCAAATGTAGATTGTAAGGGGGGTTATGGCCAAAGCCCCTTCCTTCACTGAGCCCCTGGCCTCAAGTCCCAGTGTGCCATGAGTGCCATCCTGAATGGGGTCATGCCACCCAGTGCTCTGAATGCCCCGCTGGACCACTGGTGCAGTTAGTGACACCCTGTGTACTGGAACAGGGGAGAGGCTGATGACTCAGGCTCTCGGGAGCCACCCCCCTGGAGTTCCTTTTCCCAAGACCGTGGGAGACTAAGACAGTGTTCACTCACCTTGACCTCATCCCAATGGTCTCTATCCTCCTGCAGCACTCGGGCTGTGTGAAGAGGCGTCTGGGGCACCACCATTGATTGCTGGAAGGAGCCCCAAGCCCATGGATTAGAACAGGTGCATGGGACAGCACTGGCTCCCAGCCCCCACCCCCTTTCTTCTGGCCTCAGATATGGGAAGCAAGGCTCAGGGAGGTAAAGGAGCCTAAACAGAGCAGTGGCAAAATCAGGCTCATGGTGGGGTCCCACCACCCATCTGTGGCTTGCACCAGGGCCCTCCAGAGCTGTTACCTTCCTGCCCACTGCCCCACTCCAGCTCACCACCCCCCCCCACCACAGGACAAGGAGGTGCTCACGTTGATCCAGGGATGGTTCATGAACTGTGTGATGGTCAGCCTCTCTGTGGGGTCAGTCTTCAGCAGGAGACGGATCAGCTGCTTGGCTAGGGAATAGGGGGGGTGGGGGGGTTGCAGAGTTCCTCAGAGCCAGTTGCCCTATTTCTACATGTGCTGCCAAACTCCTAACCCACCAAAACTGAGCTAATAACTGTTTCTTGTTTTAAGTCACCAAGTGTTGGGGGCAACTTATTAAGCAGCCATAGAGAATGGATACAGGGCAAATTTGTCTGTGGTCCCCAAAGGGAAAATAATAAGGGATAGGAGTTCAAGGAAGTTTTGAGGAGGCAAGTTTTGAGCCCATTTAGCAGATATAGAAACTGAAGTTCAGAAAGTTTGGGTGACTTGCCTAGGGTCACACAGCTGGGAAATGGGAAGTGGGATGTCACATACCCAGGATTTGAAAATAGGTTGCTTTGACACTGAAGTGGTATCTCGCAGGATGAAGGCTAATGGGGTCTGGTGGAACGAACTGGGGCAGAAGGTTCACTCACCATCTTCAGAAACCTCCGACCACTCAGGATTGGGGAAGCCATACTGGCCTAGGCGGATCCTCCTCTTCATCCCTGGGGAGATAGCCTGGCCCGTGTTGGAGTAGAAGGGCGGGAAGCCACACAGGCTGGGAGAGAGTGGAGGTCATTCAGCACAGGTATGAGGGCAGCATCAGGGTGGACTCATTCCCCCCAAATCCCTGACTGGGAAGACAGCCACCAAGGCAGCCACCTTGGCAAGAATACTAGCCCTCTGGACTCTGGGCTCATCCCAGGATGTCATCTGCCCTTGGCATGGAGAGACCTTCCAGCAACCTGAAGGAGGGATGTCCCCTGACCAGAAGGGAAGAGCAGCCTGCATGATGAATGGCCCAGTCAAAGCCCTCACCAAGGGTTGGGGTGGGGATGGGGGCAGAAGTGGTACTGAGTACACAAGGAAGTAGGCAGTATAGGAGGTTGAGGGGGGTGGTACTCACAGGATGTACATGATGACGCCCAGGGACCACATGTCACACGATTTGTCGTACTTCTCTGGACCCAAGACCTCAGGAGCTACCGGGGCAGAGGGCACAGGAGGGCTCTCAGCCCCAAGGGTCTTGGAGCCCAGATAGGAGCCTGAAGCCTGAGCAAGGTGGGGAGCAGGTGCCTGGGTTGGGGGTGGGGCAAAGCAGACTGGTGTCTGGCACCTTCTGGGAAGGCAGCATGTGTGTGAAGTTGGGGGAGGTAAAACAGCTCCCAGAAAAAATAAACCCACTTTTTGGCTAGGTTGTAAAGAATGATAGCCTCCTAGCTTCTTTGGGGACGATATCAGCCTTGGTGAGGAAGAAAGGGAGAGAAGGCCAGTCTAGAATTTGGTATGGCCCCACCACAGGTGAGAGAGCCTCAGCCCCCCAGCTGCCCTGGGTCCCTGGTCTCCGTGGATGCATGGCCTAGGCCGCGGACAAGGCGGGGGCTGGAGGAGAGCTCCGGTTTCCACCTTCAGCTTGGCCACCATCCCATGGGGCCTGGTTCTTCCCACCTGTGTGATAAGATGGGTAGGCCAGAAGATTTCTAAGCCAAGAAACTTCAAAACACATCCTGGTAAACAGGATGCCATCTCAGCCATCTCAGGGGCTCCCTACTCCTTAAGTAGCTCGCTGAGAAGGCCTCCCCTGAGGGGAAAGAGCCCTTGGTAAAGCGAGGCATCACACCTCTCAGGTCAGGGGCCTTTTCAGCAGGGGCTTTTCCAGATCTTGGCTCCCCACTTGCAAGGGAGCAGGAAGTTTCTCCAAGGCAGCATGAGCATGTGCCACCTCCAAGTCCCATTCCTGCCCTGGCCTAAGGGACCCTCTCCCTCAAGACAAGTGGCTGGCTGTATCCTTCTAATATGAGAGGAAAGGCCTTTCTGAATATGAATCCCAGAAAGATAAAAACTGGAGAAAAACAACCACAGTTGGGCTCCGTCCCAAGCTGATGGCAGCCTTTTATCACGTATATATTTAGAGCTGCTGTGATGTCATTCAGCTCACAGGCCACAGCCAGAATTTTCCTGGATCTATTTTCAAAAGCAGAAGCTGAAGTTTGGGAGAATATTTTTGCAGCCTCCGGCCCCCCACATCACCGCCTCCACGAAGACAGAATCCTTCCTCCTTACTGGGCTTTAACCCTGTGGCTTCTGCCACTCACAGGCCCCACAGCTAGCAGGGCCCAGGACTCACCCACATAATAGGGAGTGTAGCAGGGTGTCTGCAGGGCATTTTGGGTGGTCTCCTTGGCAAAGCCAAAGTCGGTGAGCTTGAGTACTGCATCCTTCTCCTTGGACGTGTAGAGCAAGTTTTCAGGCTGGGCCAGGAAGAGAAAGCATTGGTCTGGAGTCAGGCACCAGGTGGGGGTAGAGTGTCAAGATGACCTTCAGGCAGACTTCCATCACCCCAATCAATTCAGAAGGAGCCAGCTCCATCTCACTAAAAAGACCTGGGCCTTGGTCGCCAACAATGTGGGTCAAATATGGAGAAGACCAAGGTGGCTAGGAGGTGATCCTCCTTTTGCAGAAGGGAAACAGAGGCAAGTGTTCAGCCAAAGCTGTGAAGAGCCAAGTGCCACAGAGGCCAGGGGTAGGAAATTTGAGCCTGAGTTGGTGATGCTGCCATGAAATACCAAAATGACCATTCTGGGGCAGGATAGGCTGCTCATGTCGCCAAGCACATGTCTTGTACCCAACCCAGAACAAGGCAACAGGGCAACCCACCTGAGGTTGCTCAGGGAGAAGGCCCCCACTACTTAGACCCCAGGAGCTGCACAGAGGCAGAGGCCTGGAGGAAGACAGCAGTGGGGAGGTATGAATGGAGGGGGCAGCCCTGAAGCTAGATTTTAATGAATGGGTAGTACCTAGGGCCATGTAGGAAAGGGGCGACTGTCGAGCAGAGCTAGGCTAGAAAGACAGGGTGCTGGATGGAGTTCCAGTCTGGGGCCAGTGAAAGCCTTTTCTCTGGTTCTATTTGAGATGATCTGACCTTGGACTGGGATAAAAACCGGAAAGTATGTTTAGTCTACACAAAGGAGTCACCTCTACAGAAGGTTTTTCTCTCCTTCGGGGGGAAAACAAGGAAGCCAGAGCCAAAATAAAGCAAGGGTTCAGAAGGTGAGCCTGTCGTGGGTCCATGTGTATCCAGAATCAAAGGATAAATGGGCTGGCAATACTCAGCCAGAGGAAGAACGATGCCGCAGCTGGGCCCTCAGCTCCTCTCGGCCCAGTCTCAGGAGGAAACAGACCTCAAGATGATACTCTAGACCTGGGGCAGACGACTCAAGACTTGCAGATTCTGCGCTGGTGGTGGGCACATATATGTGTACGTACATGGGGCTGCCTCACATGGTTTGCATTTCACCCATTTGTTCCTGCTGACTTCTAGGACCCAGTCCTCCCTGGATAGGACATGTAGAGAGCTGAGCCTCCAGAACATGTCTGAAGCCCATCCGCTGAAAGAGCAAGCAGACCCAGGAATGCGACCCCCTCTGCTCATTCCTCCTTGCCTCCTAGTAAACAGCTTCTTTCCCTTAAAATCCTGGCATTAGAGGCACCCAGGTGGCTCAGTCAGTTGAGCCTGGGACTTTTGATTTCAACTCAGGTCATGATCTCAGTCTCCTGGAAAGGAGCCCCACTCAGCGGGGAGTCTGGTTATTACCACCTTCTCCCTCTGCTCCTCCCTCCACACCTCTCTCCACTCGCACACATGATCGCTCTCTCTTGCTCTCTCTCTCTCTCTAAAATAAATGAAATAAGTCTTTTCTAAAAATGCTGGCATTAAAAAACTTTTTTTTTTAAATGCTGGCATTATAGGGCCTAATCTATCGAAACTAAGGCTGTTACTTCACAGAAGCCCCAACAGTGGCAGGCAGCCTCTGCCTCCTCAGATCTGGCACACTGAATGTTCACAAAAAATCCTTGATGGGCACCTGGGTGGCTCCATCAGTTCTGCACCCAACTCTTGGTTTTGGCTCAGGTCATGATCTCAGGCTCCTGGGATGGCTCTACATTCAATGGGGAGTCTGCTTGAAGGATTATCTTCCTCTGCCCCACCCCTCCCCTCCTCAAATAAATAAATAAATAAATCTTAAAAAAACAAAATCCTTGCTGAAAGAATGAGTTAATGAATACCAGTGCAGCATCTGTTCAGGGTTAGGCAAGACACAATCTCTGAGACTTGTTTTCCTCTTCTGTAAAATGGGTAATGGCACCTACCTCATAGGGTTAGGTAAGGATTAAACAGGATGCTTGTCAGGGTCTACTGGCTTGAGGTAGGTATCCAGTTCTTCTAAAGCCTATTGGGGGTGGTGCCTGGGTACCTCAATGGTTGAGTGTCTGCCTTTGGCTCAGGATGTGATCCTGGGGTCCTGGGACTGAGTCCTGCATCAGGCAACCCGTGGGGAGCCTGCTTCTCCCTCTGCCTGTGTGTCTGTCTCTCTCTGTGTATCTGTCATGAATAGATAAATAAAATGTATTTTTTAAAAGCCTATTGGGATTACACAGTGTTTGAAAGAAACAAGGAGACTGATCTGGCTAGAGCAGAATGAGTATGCTGGAACCACAGGAGAAGTGGCTGTGAAGAGCGGACTGGGCTGAGGGACAGAGAATGCAGATCAAGAAAACCTGCCTCCATCTAGCGGGTGCTGGGAGCCATTGGGGGTTGTGTATTCCCTTCTCTGGTTCCCCAACCTAGTGTTTCACCTTGACATCTCGGTGGGCAATGTTCTGGCTGTGCAGGAACTGGATGGCGGTGCCGATATCCCGCATGATCTCTGCAGCTTCTGCAGACACAGAGAGAGGAAGGGCCAGTAATGCCAGTCAAAGGTCCAGGAGCCTGGGGCTTCCACCCTATCATTCCCCCCTGCAGCAGCACAAGATGGTGATAGCAGTCCTGCTACCCAGGACACCCATCCTATACCCCAACACAGTCATCCTAATTTCCTCTGGGGATGCCGCAGCCCATCTGGACTTCTTACCTTAGGCCTGGGCTACCTCTTCCCAGCTAAGGTGCTGGTTGTCACCAAGAGGCTTTGAAGCCTACATCCCAAGGCCATGGACAATCCATCTCCGACAAGATGTTACAAACTTATAGAACTCTTGGGGTATGGACATCCTGCCCCACCCTCTCTTGTTCAACTGGGGAGACAGGCATAGAGAGGAGCAGGGCCGTGCCTAGCATCACACAGCAACTCTGTGTGGCCCCTCTGGCCCTGATACACACATGTACCTCTTTCGGTGAAAGCCTGGTCACCACGCTCCTGAATCCGGCTGAATAGCTCACCACCTTCCATGCTGGAAGAGAAAGTGACTAGAAGTAGGGCCCCCTGAATCAGGTGTCAGCCTGCCCCTGCCCTGAATCGTGGGCCCAGAGATTAGGCTTTGCCCACCCTGCCCCTGGGGAACAGTTACGGGCAGCCTCCCTGTGCCCAGCTGTATAGCAGGCCATCAGCTTGGGTGGGTTGACCTGGTCTCCTAGAACTAGGGTAGGCTCAGATCCTCAGGTCATCAGGGGGCCCTTGCATTCCTAGGGCAGGCCAATCCTCATCCAAGTCTGAGTTTTCCTCAAATAAGGGAGGAGATGTCAGTTGTCATCATCATAACCACTATTTCCTGAACACCTACAGTGCTATGTGACCCTGGCCTGGTCCCTTTACCTCTCTGTGCCTCAGCTTTCTCTTTTGTAAAATGAGATTTATAGCACCAATATCACAAAGTTGTGCAAACTGAATAAGCAGTATACACAGAGCACTTAGAATGTGGAGTCAGGTATAGGCAAATACTACCTTAAGATCTTCTTCAAAAAAAAAAAAAAAAGATCTTCTTCCACATTTTAGACAGCAGTTACAGAAAATCAGAGAGGTTAAGAGCTACCCAAAATCATACAGCTAGTGGGTGGTAAAGCCAGAATCTGAACCTCAAATCTGACTCAAGAGCTGCTAACCTGTAGGATGATGGGGTGCTTAAAGGTAGATGGGGAGGAGCTCAAAGTCCAGACACAAGACTCAGGGTTTGAGGAAGGCTAGGGCTGAGCCACAGTGCTACTGGGAGAGCTCAAGGTCCAGACACAAGACTCAGGGTTTGAGGAAGGCTAGGGCTGAGCCACAGTACTACTGGGAGAGCTCAAGGTCCAGACACAAGACTCAGGGTTTGAGGAAGGCTAGGGCTGAGCCACAGTGCTACTGGGAGAAGTACAAGGTAGAAGAGGTCACTGGCTCCTAGTATCTGGTGGGACACGGGAACAGAAACCCAGGTAAGAAGGAAAAGGTGGAGGTGATTGTGTGTGTCCTGCTCCTCCCAAATCTCTCCCCAACCCCCGACCCCACCCACACTCAGGGCCTGCCTACCTTTTCTGACAACTCTTTCAGCTCTTCCTCACAGAGTGAAATCACACCCAGGGAGCCATATAGGAGGCCCTGTAGTTCCCCGCCCACCCTGGTGGGAACAGCCTTGTGGCAGCCATATGGCTCCATGGGCAAGGCCTGCAACTGCCCCTCCATTACTGCTCAGGGGTTGGGGTGCCTCCCAGAGCTGCTATCTTAAGAGCAAGAAGGTCCCCTAGAAGAATGGTGGGAGCCTGGGGACCACAAGAGTACCAAAGAGGCACCAAAGCTGGATGGGCCAGCATACCATTCCATGACGATGAGGAGACAGCGCTTGCTGTGATGCATGTTCTCATACACGTCCAGGATGCGCACAATGTGAGGGCCACCCGAGGCCTGCCAGTGGTGGTCCACCTCCTGCCGGGCCTTGGGGCTGTCATACAGGAGCTGAGAGCAGGTAGGCACAGAAAGTGTCAGGCACACAGCCCACTTCCCCAGCAGCCACCCAGAGGGTGCCACCACCCTCACTTTGCAGACAAGAATATGTGAGCTCAAGAGAGGCCTGTGACCTGCCCAAGGTCACCCACCTTATGAGGGGAAGAATGAGGATTCAAATCCAGGTTTCTGTGATTTGTGGTCCAATGACCACAAGAAGGCCCTGGGAGGTACTTGATGGCTTGGAAAGGCTCAGAGGCCAGAGGAAGCCTGCTTTCCTTCTTGGGGGCTGCAAGTGAAGTGGCAGTTGAGTGGGCTTTTTGGACAAATCACACATCAGATGGAAGACCCCAGACATATCCCTTGAACTCCATTTTTACAATGGGGTGGCTCAAGAGTTGTAGAGCCAGAGGGGTACAAGAGGGACCCTAGCTGAAGGAGGGGACAGCCCAATGGGCTGAGGCCTGGGTTTGGGGCTGAATTCCTCCCGTGACTCAGTGTGACCTCAGGCAAACATTTACAGCTCCAAGCCACAGCCCACAACTCTGTGAAATGGAGTAATAACAGAATCATCCCCATAGGATGCATCACAGCATGGTATGCAGCGGGTGGGCGGGCATCAGGATCCCTGCTCAGGTTAACTCAGCCCCAGGCTGCCCCTAGGCTATGGCTGCCAATCAGAAGGCCAATCACCAGAAATGAGCAAGGCCCTGAGCAGTCCTGCTGGGTGGAGGTGTAGGGGAGAAAACAGCATGCAGGGTGAGGTGGTCCAGAACGCGGATAGCAGAGCAAACCATCCTCCCACAGCACTGCTCACCCGAGACCCTGCCTAATTTGTTTCCTAGTTGATCAGGGTTGGGGACCACGGTCAGACCTCAAGCTAGGCCTCAGATCAGCTTCATCTTTCTCAGCACCCACAGGACCCTGGGCCATCCCTGGCCTTGGTGTCCTCCTCTACAGGACTATTTCCCCTCTGCCAAGGCACTGCATGGGGCAGACTCCAGGACCAAGCTCTCTAGGCAAAGGTCGACTGAGGTATAGAGGAAGCCTGTAGGTTCTCTCATCTATTGCCCCGTGGCTGCTCCTCCATCTCTGGAGCTGCTCACCTTGGCCCTAGCCTGGGGGTAAAAGGCCCTCCACCAGTTTTGGGTGGGGTCCCTGCTCCATTAAGCAGTCCAGGATGGGGCACATAGAAGCTGCTGTGGACAGACTCCCAGCTTGGAAACCAGTCCTTGCTCCTGCTGCCTTTGCCTCCCAGAACATCTCTCAGCTCCATGCCCACACGGCTACTAAGCACCAGCTTTTTGCTCACATTTCTGGGCACAGGAGCTCAGTCATCCCCACTCACCACACCAGCTCACCCCCACTGTGTTGAGGTGGTTCTAGCCAAGGGTATCCCAGTCTTTAGCCACAGGACCCAAGATGCACCATCCTCCCTCCCTACTCTGTCTCCTCTGCACCCTTTTCTGCGTGGCCTCCCTACACTTCTCTCTGCCCCCTGCCATCTCCTCCCCAGTCTGGCCTGACTTGACAGTGTCCTGTAGACATCTCCAGGCTGGTTCCTGGATCCCCTCCTCACTCTGCCCTGCTTCTGGCATCTTACCCTACACCCAAATCCTCTCTCTTCTCTCGTAAAATCCCAAGTACACAGCCAGAAACCTCCCAGTGGGGTCCTCAGCCCCACCTATCCTTGCCCCCACTCTTTATCCCCACCTCCTTCCCTGGCACTCAGGCTTGCCTCCCTCTCATTGCCTGCTACCCCTGACCCCCAACCCTTTCTGTTCTGGTCAGAATGATGTACTTGTTGACTGGAGCAGTCCTCACTCTGCCTATGCCATGTGCACTCTTGCCCTTCTCCTTCTCCATTGGGTCAAATCCCTCTTTTTCAGGAAACTTCTGGGCTCAGTTCAGATGTCTCCTCCTCTGGAAAGACCTCCTGGCATCTCCTCCTATGGTTTTTGCCTCTCTATCTCCCACCAGGCTGAGAATAGCTTTAGGGCAATTCCAGTAGGGTTGGCCTACAGGTTCCTGGCCAGGGCCACAGAAAACACTGGGCTCCTGAACAAACAAAGGGTGGGAGGGTGGACATGGTGTTAGAAGGAAGGCCTGTGGAAGGGAGAGGAGGAGGGGAGCAGATGGCCAGGGAGCGGCCCAAGGGCTTCATGGCCTGAGCCTATACCCTGCGCCTCACTGAGGTGGGCGAGCAGGTGAAGCTGCCCTGAGTTGGAACCTCTGAATGCCTCCTACCCTACTCAGTCCATATTTAGAAACTCATTTCCCACACGGATGAAAATAGTCCTTTTCTGAGTGCCAAGGCTCTGAGAACAGGCACAGGGGTGGGGAGAGGACCATACCCAGAAAACACAATAAATGTCCCCACTAGCCTCTTTGTAGGGGTGATGACAGAGGCCAGAGCCCTGCACCTGACCCACCTAGGCCCAGCTGCCAAGAAACCTCCTGGGCTATCATTCTCGATCTTTTGGGTTGGCCTTGAGTGTGGCCCCAAACCTCCTCAGTTTCCTCATCTGTCTTCCCCATAGCCAGAACCTTCTCCTCTTCCCTTTCCCCTTTCCTTTCCCTCCAATATCACCTCTGTCTTCCCCATAGCCAGAACCTTTCCCTTCCTCTTTCCTTTCCCTCCAATATCACCTCTTCTCAGAAGCCCTCCCTGACCACCCTGACAAAGAAGGACATCAAGGATCCCTCACTCTCCCTTCACCTTTTCTTTATTTATATATGTGTTTTGTTCACTGAGGTATACTTCACATATAGTAAAGTGCACAGGTCTCAAGAGTCCATCTTGATGAGTTTTGACAGCTATGCACCCCTATGTGACCCACACCCCCAAGACAGAAATGCTTCCAGCTTCCCAGCAAGCTCCCATGTCATTGCCCTTCCTACCACCCTCCTGTGCTGCACTGGCTCACAACCTACAATTAGCTTGTTCCTGTGATAACTCTTTAAACAAACACACATGTATAGATACTGCACTTTCGATGTGCCTGGCTCTGTTCTGAGCCCTTTCTAAATATTAGGAGCAAGGGGCTTCATTTTCCCCATTCCTTAGCTGAGAAATAGAGGCATAGAGAGGGGAAGTAACTGGTCCCAGACCCCACAGCTGATCCCCCAGCCTGGTGGGAGATAGAGAGCCTGGTGGGCACCAGGCTGCCTCCCTTATCAGATCATGGGCCCTCAAGGGCATCGTCAGCCTGCTGGGTCACCTCTGGGTCCTAGTACTGGGACTCAGAGCCTGGCACAGAGCACTGGCTCAGTTTATATTTGTAGGCTTATTGAACAGATCTGTAAGGTGGGGTAAGAGGAAGAAACCCTCACAACTCATCATGAGGACAGAATAAAATTAAATTGAGAAGGACCCAGGAAGGGTCAACAAATGAGAGACATGACAACCTGGCCAAACTTGCTCCCCACTGTGCCTCACCCACCCTCCCTGGTGAACCAGACTTTACCTTCTCTTCCAAGGAGCCCATCCTGACCACTTCAGCCCACAAGGCCATTGTTATAAATGGCAATCCATTGGCTTCATTCACGCAGGTACATGAGTCCACATAACCCTTCATATAAGATGTCCCCAAGCGAGAGCCCCAATATTCCCAGGCATGGAAATGAGCACCGGTCTAGGAGAGGAGGCTCAGATCCTTCTCTTACTTTCAGAGTGACCTTTGGTGGTTCCTTTGCCTCTCTGGGCCTCTCTTTCCCTAATGTTGAGCTACAGTGCTTGGGCTAGATTGGGGGAAGGGAAAACTCTGGTCAGGGTCTCCTCCCAAAGTAACTACTATGGCCCCACTCCCACATCACCTCCCCATGGCACAGCCCCTGGGGCTCCACAGACCCACATCCAAATGCCTGAACCCAATGAGGCCTACCTGGTCCTGGATCACAGCTAGGAAGGAAAGAAGATAGCATAGTCCTCTGACAATCCAGTTCAGCAGCCTCTGCCCTTGCCTCCCTCCCACCCCCTGTCCCTGGGCCCCCAAGGGGTCCACCAAAGCTGAGGGCCTGTGATGGCTCCTGAGAGCTCCAGCCAGTGCCCAGCAGGCACCCACACACCCAGGAGACAGAACCCTGGCTTGCTCCGCAGGGAGGGGCTCCTGGCTGTACTGGAGCTGTGGCCCCCACTGGAGTTAATGAGTCTCAAATCTGAGAGGACATTTCCTTGAACAAATGACTCTACTTTAGCCTCAGGCTGTGATGAAGCAGTTTCCACCTCTCCCTTCTCCCTCACTCTCCTTTGCCAAACTCTCTGAGCACCCAGAGCCTACCGCCACATGGCCAAGACCCCTGCCAACCCCAACAGACAGTAGACCTCAGCCTCAGCAGATTTTGAGGCAGAGGGGCCTGTGCCACCTACCCACCCCACCCCGCCGCCCGCCCCAGCCCCAGCAGCACCAGGTGGAATGGGAGACTTGGCCTAGCAGGGCCCAGGACAGCCTTCACAGGGAGGACTCCCTAGTTCAGGAGCTGGGAAAGCCAGAACAACATTTGACTGGAAAACAATTTGCAGTTTACAAAACACTCTCTCCCTTTATCTCATGGGAACGCTGGTGCCGCCCTGTGAGGCCAGCTGGGCAGGGCCAGCAACTCCAATTTACAGACTGAGGAAAGAGAGGTCCAGGAGAATGAAGTCACTGCCCTGGGGCCACCATGCTGGAGTGTAGCAAGGCTGAACAGGGAAGAGAAGGGACTTTTGAGTGTCCAGACAACCCCTCCCTGAGGGGAAATGAGAGAAGGGGGTGGCACCAAGTTGTAGAGGCATCGACCAAAACTACCACTTACAGGCAACGGGAAACTTGCTCTGAAATTAATGTGTGCACAGGCATGGGTTCCGCAGGGGTGTGGGGGGGCCGGGAGGGTTGCACAGGAACATGGATGCAGGCACATATAAGGGGTATGCCCCTGGGGCTGTATAGGTCTAGGGAGCATGGGGGTGGTGGATGTGTGCGAGTGTGGGGCCATGGGCATGCATGTCTCCAGCCCCTGCAATAGTGACTCTG